CTGGTCCAGTTGTGAGGATTTTTGTTTTCTTTATGTTGAGGTGTAATCCATACTGAAGGCTGTGGTCTTTGATCTTCATCAGTAAGTGCTTAAAGCCCTCTTCACTTTCAGCAAACAAGGTTGTGTCATCTGCATATCACAGGTTGTTAATGACTCTTCCTCCAATCCTGATGCCCCCCATTCTTCTTCATACAGTCCAGCTTCTCTGATTATTTGCTCAGCATACAGACTGAATAAGTATGGTGAACAGATACAAACCTGACACACACCTTTCCTGATTTTAAACCATGCAGTCTCCCCTTGTTCTCTTCAAATGACTGCCTCTTGGTCTATGTACAGGTTCCGCATGAGCACAATTAAGTGTTCTAGAATTCCCCGTTCTTCACAATGTTAACCATAATTTACGATCCACACAGTCAAATGCCTCTACTAGTCAATAAAACACAGGTAAACATCTTCCTGGTATTCTCTGCTTTCAGCCACGATCCATCTGACATCAGCAATGATGTCGCTCATTCTATGTCCTCTTCTGAATCCAGCTTGAATTTCTGGCAGTTCCCTGTTGATGTACTGCTGCAACCACTTTTGAATGATCTTCAGCAAAATTTTACTTGTGTGTGATATTAATGATGCTGGCAGCTAGGGATGGCCAAATGACCTCGTTCTGGCCAATAAGATACATAGTAACATCTGTTGGGGGTGGGTACTTCTGGGGAACCTTCTGCTCTCCAGTTAAAAAGAAAGAGCAGATAGGTACTCCTCTTTGTTTAAGTACTGATAGCCAAGTTTTCTGTTTCTTGTAGCCAAAAGCATTCCTAACTGACTTGGTAGGTGACTTAATCAGAGACACAAGATGACCTTTGTTAGAGATGCTGGGTCATCCCCTTAATCTTTCCTCCTGGACAAGACTGAGGCAGGATGCAGCTGCGGGAGCACAGATGTCACTTTGATGACTAAGGTGCCCCTGACCCAAGCCATGGTATTTTCAATTGCCTCATATACATAAGAAAGCTAGAAAACTAAAAAAGAAGACAGAAGAATTGATGCATTTGAATTGTGCTGCTGGCGAAGAAAACTCAATACACCATGGACTGCCAGAAGAACAAGTCAGCCTTAGAAGAAATACAACCGGAAAGCTCCTCAGAAGTGAGAATGGCGAGATTTCATCTTGCTTGCTTTGGACACGTCATCAAGAAAGACCAATCGTAGAAAAGAACACCATGTTTGGTAGCGGGTCAGTGAAAATGAGGAAAAACCTCAATGAGATGGACTGACCCATTAGCCACAACAATGGACTCAAACATATCAAAGATCATGGGGATGGTGCAGGACCAGGCAACAATTCGTTCTGTTCTACATAAGGCCTTCAGGAGTTAGAGCCAACTTGATGGCAACTAACAACAAATTATATTGTATTACATGCGTGCACACACACACACACACAAATGCGCCAGGGTGCTCCTTAAGGGAGGGCCTGCAGCCCATAGCCCTGGCACCAAAACAGCAGCATCTAAGACTGACCCAATAGTGTTCCTTGGCAAAGCAGCCCAGCAGTGTGTAGAGGGGCTGGGAAGCATGATTCTGGAGTCATTGCCTGGGTTCACATTCCAGCTCTACCACTTACTTGTTGGGTGCCCTGGGCAAGTTTCTGTCCCTTTCTGCATTTTTCAATCTTGTCTGGTAAATCCACATGGGAAACTTAACTGAAGAACAAAGAATATTCAGATGCAAATAATGGGGCAGGTAAACTGGGCAGAGGCAGAAAGTGACTTGCCCAGAGTCCCCTGATTCATCAGAGGCAGGGTCAGGAGTCAAAACCAGGCCTTTGGGCAGCCTCAGGAGCCTCGGGCACTGAAGAGAACACCCAGGAAAGTCAGGCTGCAGATTCTAAGCAAGAGCTGTGACATATACTTTGGGGGATGATAAGGAAACCAACAGCTCAAAGATAGCAGAAGTAGAAACAAAACACAAAACCAACCAGCCAGTCCCTGACAAGACAAGAGAAACGCGGGTTTCAAAATGTCCGGCCAGGATGTGTGCTAATTTATTAGGGCTGCTTCTCCATCTCAGCTTTCTGGAAAAGAAAAATTCCTGTGACCTGAACCACTGAATGGACAATTGTGATCATAGAAGTAGCATGGCTCAGGGTGGGGCTGGGGAAATCTATACTATAGAAGTGAAAGAAAAGTAAATTGTGTCTTGGTTTCCCTTCACTCAAAACCGACATTTCCTTAACACTATCAAATGCCATAAAAGGCACAAAATACACTTAGGAACTTGGGGCTGGAGATAAATAATCAAAAAAGCAAGCAAAGGCTCTAATCAGAAAATGTCTTTGTCCCTAGCATTGGCCTGAAGGTGCTCAACGTCAAAGGCTGACCTCAGTCACCTCCCATATACCTACAGCGCAGCACCCTGCACTCTAGAGGCACCCGTTCCACTCTGGGCCAGTATGTGGGAACTGGCTTGGGGCTGCACTCATCCAGGTACATACAGCGGGAGTCCTGGCCTCTCTCACCAAGCCTCCTGGTCTCTGTGGGCACTCCCTTCTGACCCTGGCCTATGTGACCCAAGTTGAAGGCCTGAAGAGGGAAAGATCTGAAGGGCTTTAGTTTCAACAGTTCCACCCACAGGTCCAGGTCAAGTCTCTTTTGGTCCCTTTTCTGCTTAGATTCCCTTGACTTCAGGATGAAAAAGCAGCTTCTGGCCAATTCATCCCCCACCCCTACCCAGTTTGGCTAACATTCCCCATGTCCCCTACTATGGTTCGGCCCAACCTGGATTCTCTCCCCTGCTTATTTTTCTAGTCTCCAGCTGTTCTCCAAAAGGGCCATTTCACATGTCAAGTCTCCTTTCCTAGGGCTCAGCCCAACGGTTCTGCCCTGGCCACCTGCGTGTCCCTGTACACACTCTGGGCCTTCCCCATCCACACCTGTGTCCAGGAGCTCTTGGGGGCAGGGGGGCGATGCTCCCTCCACTGAAGGAGATGGGGGCCAGGCACCCTGCAATGGGGTTAACTGAGAGCCAAGCCCACTTCCTTCCTCAAGTCTGGTCCATTTAACAGGAACTCTTGAGGCCCCACCTCTACTATGTCATTTTTCAGCATTCCCTGCAGCTTTTGTAATTAATGTTTCACATGTCCAAACAAAACCTAAAGGTTTTCTGTTCTTTACCGAGTCAAAGTTCCTTTCATAGAAACCAGCCCCAAACTTATCACTGTTCAAACATGTGAAAACACACACCAGTGGCAGGAAGCTATACATTTTCCCCTTTAGCAGGAACAAGGATGAGCCCGCGTGCAGTGTCCTGGAATGTGCAGCGTCCTGGAATGTGCAGCAGACAGCCCTCTCTGTCCCACGGGCCGAGTCCTGCTGAGGGGAGGGATGTGCGCACAGGCTCTCCATCTAGCCAGTCCTGAGGGAGAGGGGAGCTAAGTCCAAACAGAGCCTCCTTTCCCTTCTGGTCGTGTGGAGGGTTTCTGAGGCCCTGGTCACAAGTTCTAGACAGCTGCTGTGGCAAACATCGTCATCGCCTCATGATGAAGCTGGGCTCATCCTCTTCCTCCTCCTCTGTTCCAGACGCCTCCTCAGAGCTACTGGACTGCTGCTCCTGGGATAGACTGGATCCTGGAATCACATGACATTCGGGTGATATATATACAAATTCACTCCGAGAAGAAAACAAAAAAACCAAACCAGTTGCCGCTGAGTGGATTCCACTTATGTGTGTCAGAGTAGAACTATTCCATAGGGTTTTCAATGGCTCACTTTTGGGGAAGCAGATCGCCAGGCCTTTCTTCTGAGGTGCCTCTGGGTGGATTCAAACTGCCAACCTTTTGGTTAGTAGCTGAGTGCTTAACTGTTTGTGCCACCCAAGGACTCCTTCAGAGCATAAAGGGGCTCTTTAAAAAAGGAGGAGAGCTAAGGAAAATGAGGAACAAGTTGTCGAGCAAGAAGCCAGAGGCAGTCCTCACATCCATCAGTCCCCAACACCGCTTCTCAGGTACTAAGGGTTGGTCACAGAATTGATCTACCACTGCTCTGACAAACGGACTTCTTCCTTATCAAAAGGTCCAGCAGCAAAAAGGATAGCCCGACCTCCGTAAATCAGGTCTCACTGCTTTCTTTATGGCCCCCATCACTGACAATATCTGCCAGCTGGGTAGGGTGACTTCCACAGCTGGCTCTTTACCATTTAATGCTAGGCTGACAGCATTCCTGCTCAAGTCTCAAGTTCTCACCGCAGTCTTGCAAGTGGATTTTCAAAAACTGGAGCAGAGGACTCTGCCCACAACAAATCTGCCAGCTTCCTGGCTCTTCCCAAACACAGACCCAGAGGCCCTCTCTCCTGAAACTCCATGTGCAGCCCTGAACTTCAAGCTTCCTCTTCATGACTGCCAGTACAGCTGAGCTGGCCAAAGCACAGAGGATGGAGACAACTTGTTCCAATAACAACTCCTCCTCCCTCTCTTCTTGGGTGCAGGCGAGTGGGAGAGGATTGGAACAAGGCAAAGCTAGAGACCATATTCTCCAGCTCAGTCCACTCCAGGCAGCCCACTTGCAGGCATGGTGGCCTCGCCAGCTCACAACCAGGGGCTCATCCAGGCCCACCAATGGGCCTCCTCCCTGCAAACGTACTCACCCCAGTGCCCACACACGCACTCAAAGTTTTGCTACTGCTGACAACACAGGGTCAGGCACAGAGCTGCCAGGGAGAGGCCTTGGTTGCCCAAGGCACAGCACAGCGTAAAGTGCAGTTCCACACCCTCGGACGGGACACTACAGAGCACATCGGCTCTGAGATTTAATTAATATAGAACATCCCTTCTTTTCCTCATCAACCTCATGTCAAACAGAATGAGACGTTCAAAAGTACAAATGGCAAGGATATTTTAATAATTAATATTTGTTGAATACCTACTATGTGCCAGGCACTGTGCTAAGTCTTTACATATACTATCTTGTTGACTTCTAACATAGCCTATTATATGTTTATTTTACAGAGAAGGAAAATAAAGTTCAGAGAGGTAAGTAATTTACTGCTCAAGGCCTCATATCAGTAGGACAAGGACCCAGGATTCAAACCAGGACCACTTGAGTCTTCAGGCCTCTGCCCTTAACCATTGCCCTAAACTGCCTTCAGAAATGCATAAGAAAACTGAGGCAAAAGGAAAACGAGCTGGAGCCAGGAGGTGAGCAAAAAAAAAAAAAAGCATGCCATCAGTCCAGTACATGACTAGAGATGAGTCAGGAACTTTGCTCTGTGCTCCCTAGATCCCTGGACCGTGCTCCTTAAGCTTTCTCACATCACAGCCTACATAGAAAATGACAATATCACTATGGCCCAAGGGGAAACCACATGAGACTGCTCACAGCCAGAGGCAGTTTGTCCAAGGTCTTGTGCAGTGTCCACCCTGAAGGCCAAAGAGACCAGGCAGGGTTTCTGCCACTCACAGTCCATTCCCCACATACCAGCAGGAAGCTCTGCTCTAGAACATGGGCTCCAAGGCTGAAGACGGTGAAGATTCCTGTTTTGTTTCATAACTTCATCATGTTCTGTCCATCTTAAACCTCTCTAAGAACTTACATGGCTCTGAACACAGCAGGACAAGAGCATAGGATTTGATCTTTAATCCTGATCTTAAAGAAACTGTAAAATACAGATTAACCTGGATGTTCGAGGAAGGGAGTGTTTTGGATGCCTGAGATGATGATTAACAGGGAAGGGCTCAAAGCATTCTTGTGGCTGAAACATCCCTGAAAATGTATTACCTCATTTAGTAGTAAACAGAATGGATTTCTGTGTGAGTGAGACACACTGTCACGGCCTGAATGAGGAGAAACTTAGAGGTCTGGTATGTGACCCATGAACACTGAAGTAATTCAATAAAATCCATCCATTCATTCAACATTTACTAAGTGCTTACTTCCTGCAGGTACTAGGTTTAGTGTTAGAGATACAAAAATAGAAAAAGCATACTGTCACAAATTAAAATAATGATGAGATACCACTACACACCTATAAGAATGGCTAAAATCTAAAAAACGGACAATACCAATTGCTGGCAAGGATGTAGAGCAAAAAACCTCTCATTTACTGCTGGTGGGAATGCCACTTTGGAAGACAGTTTGGCAGTTTCTTACAAAGCTAAACACAGTTTTACCATATGATCCAGCAATCATGCTTCTAGGTATTTACCCAACGGATGTGAAAACTTATGTCCACACAAAAACTAGCACACAAATGGTTATCACGGCTTTATTCACAAAGCACCCCAAAAATGGAAAGCAATCAAGATGTCCTTCATAGGTGAAGGGATAAACAGACTGTGGTACGTGCATATGGTGGAATACTATTCAGCAATAGAAAAGGAATGAGCTATAAAGCTATGCTAAGACATGATGACTCTTAAGTGGATATTGCTAAGAAAAGGAGTGAGCCTGAGAAGACTACAGCTGTATGATTCCATTAACATATCTGGAAAAGGCAAAACTAGAGAGATGGTAAACAGATCGGTGGTTGCTGAGGGTTGGGGAAAGGGCTGAAGAGGTGAAGCACATATTTTTTAGGACAGTGAAACGAATTTTACGGTATTATGATGGTAGCTGCATGACACTACACATTTGTCAAAACCCACAGAACTTCACAGCACAAAGAGTGAACTTGAATGCATATAAATTAAAAGAAAAAAAATCATCAAGGAGGTCAGGGATCCCAGACTGGAATGAAGAAGCAGACAAATGAATCTAACTGTATTACAAATGTAGGAAACAACCTTACTGAAGGGGATGGGGAAAAACATGCTCACCTAAGCAACTCTGGAAATGAGTGATGTCTGTAAAGACTAAAGGCAAAAGGACCTGTGTAGAAGCATCTACTCTACTCGAAAAAGTTGCTTCCCCTGGCGTAACAGGTTAACAATTCTGAAACCACTATACATTGCTGTACAGTGGAACTGAACAAGTAAGTAAGTGGATGGCGGATGGTGGGAGTCAGGTTACTCACACTGGAGTGGGAGGTCACAGAAAAAACAAGGGGGAAGGCTAGAACAACCCATGTGGTCATGGATTAGAGGTGGAGACATCAGCATGAACTCATGTTTAGCTTAATATAGATACAGCTGGTTACATACAGAAATATTTATAGATGTGTATATATACTGGTTAATATGCTTACATTTATTTGCTCTATCAGCTGAAGAGGGCCTAAAAGCAACATCTCGGCAGCAATGAAGACACACAGTGCCCACTCCCCTGCCCCCATCTTAGCTTCTAATACCATTCTGCAAGAAAAGAAATGAGGGTTCCCCGGAGAAATGGCTGATTCTAGGACTGGGGCAGGAAATATATAAGATAAGCCTGGAATATCTTGTAATGCCAGAAAGTAAGGAAGTACTTAAAAAAAAAAAAAAAGTCACTCCACAATAATATGTCAAAGGGGACACAGGAGCCAACTCAGAAAGCTCTCAATGGCCTGGCTGGAACAATCTGAGCAACAAAATATAGTAATTATAACCTAATACCAAAATATTGGATTATAATCTAAAGTATAAAATAAATACCCATGAGTTAATACTGATATAAAGAAACAACTGAACAAATAAATGGGGGGAGAACAGAAAAATCTTCCATGCAGAAGAATTCCAAATAATTTATGTAGATACTGCGCCTCAAGGAGGTGGAGCATAATTCCCCATTCCTTAACCATGGACTGCGTATGGTGACTACCTTTCAAAGAGTAGAGTATGGAAAGGGATGCTATGAGTAAAGAAGGAGTCCCTGGGTGGTACAAATGGTTAAGCACTAGGCTAACTGAAAAGTTGGCAGTATGAACCCACCTAGAGACACCTCAGAGGAAAGGTCTGGTGATCTGCTTCCGAAAGGTCACAGTCATGAAAACCCTATGGAGTGCAGTTCTACTCTGACACATGGGGTCGCCATGGGTTGGAACTGACTCGATGTCAACTGATTTTGTTTTTTGTTATAGTGGAGAAAGCTGACAAGCACTACTCTACCCAGGCAATGAAGGTCAGCATCAACAGTGACAAGCATGTTGATGGTAGGCACCCTTCTTGATCTGATGTGATGAGAATGGCACTTTACCTCTGTGGTCTTCCTCCTAAAAACCCATAACCCCACTCTAATCATGAGAAGAACATCAGAAGAATCCCACTTGAAGGGCATTCTACAGAATATCTGACCCTCTAAACTATCAAGGTCATGAAAAACAAGGAAAGCCTGAGAAACTTTCACAGCCAACAGGAGCCTAAGGAGACATGAATGGAATGTGGTATCCTGGATGGGATCCTGGAACGGAAAAAGGACATGAAGCAAAAACTAAGGAAATCTGAATAAAGTATGGACTTTAGTTAATAATAATGTATCAATGTTGGTTCATTAATTGTGACAAATGGACCATATTAACTTAAGATGTTAACAACGGGTGAAATCGAGTGTGAAATATATGAGATGTCTCTGTACTATCTTTGTAAGTTTTCTGTAAATCTAAAACTATTCCAAAATTTAAAAATTATTAGAAAAAAAAAAACTGTCCTACCCTCATGGAACTGAGATTATAGCTTGATGGATAAACACAACATGTGATTTAGCAGGTATATAGCAGAGTA